CCAGATATTAACTGGGAATTTGTCATTTGGTGAGGAATAGCAAAAGCAGCAGATCATCTCAGTGGTAGGCATGTTTTTCTTTTTGTGGGTCAGCAGGAATTCATCATGATTGACAAAGATATGGTTTGCTGGATGGCATGACTGACAATAAATTTAAATCATTGGTATTTTTTAAATGATCCAGTAATTGGGCCAGGGTTGTGGGCTTAATGCCCTTCTTATCATCAACATGGCAACATATTAAAGCGGAGTTCCAGCTGAAAAAAAGAAAATCAGCAGCTACAAAAACTGTAGCTGCAGTCTTTTAAAATACAGCCACTTACCTGTTCCTCGGTCCAGCAGTGTCCTCGCCACTGCTGGTCTCACCGACCGTCTTCTCTCCCTGGCACCGGCATCTTTAGTGTAGGCAGCCGGCTGTGACAGCTTGCAGCTTCACAGCCAGGTGCCCACTGCGCATGGCCAAGAAGTGCTGCTCTTTGTGAATGGTCCTGTAGTCTTCTGGAAGCTGTCACATGTCTCAGAAGGCTACGGCGATGGAGGGAGGACAACTTTTGCTTCCGATTGCAGCGGAAGTGTAAGCAGGCACCTGTCAAATTTGGGTACCCACTCCTCCCCCCCGCTCCCCAAAGGTGCCAATCCTTAATGGGGAGCGGGGGACAAAGCATTAAAGCGGAACTTCCCCTTTTGGGTGGAGCTCCACTTTAATCTGCTGTAGGAGCACCTTTAGCAAGGTACTCTCCCTATGTTGAGGACACGTGGTCTGGTAGAGTTCAGAAGGAAGGGCCCTCAGCATAGTTAAGTATAGACTGCTTTCCTTTACAGGGGTAGTTAGAATAGGCTTATTAGGTTTAATTAGTATTTGACTGGAATTAAACTTTAATCTTTAAATTAAACAGTTATTATTTTAGATCCTTGAGGATATTTGGTAGCTTTAGCCTTGAGTCATTGTTATAAAAATAAAATGTCTCTGTCACTTTATGTTCTCTGTCTGACATTATTATTCCTTGCACATCTGTGGTAGCTAGCATAGGGCTCAGAAAGGAAAAAGAGCAGTGGTGAGAGGGAACCTTTGTCTCATTCCATTGTGTAGTTCGAAAGGATGAAATAATGTGCCTTTGATCTGTGATTTGACTATTGACTGGTAACAGAGGGCCTCAGTCAGTTAAAGCATTCTGGGATCCATGTCTATACTTCATGGAGTGGGTAACAAGAAATCCCCTTTCCACCCTGTCAAATGCTTTTTTAGTATCTATTGACAAGGTTGGGGATTCACTGTGTTTGTCAAGGTGGATTAGGAAGAGGGTTCTGGCAGTATTGTCTTTTGCCTTACAGGCTGGGACAAATGCTGCCTGATTGGAGTGTACCCATACAGGCATAAAGGGTTTTATTTTATTTTATTTTAGTTGCCAAAAAGTTTTTATATAGTTTAGTGTCAAAATTCAGGCATTCTATAAGTCTGTAACTTGTGTATGATGTTGAATCTTTTCCCTCTTCCAGCAAGACAGTGATGTGCACTAGAAGAGATTTTCTGCACATTTCTACTCCATTGCCCAGGAAACTCAAATAGGTACAGAATCACATGATCAATTGATCTTGAATGTTTTTGTATAAAAAGTACAGACCTGGACATAGGCTTTTTCCAACTTCCATGCTTTTAGCTGCTAGATCCACCTGAGTGAATTCTCCATCTATAAATTAGAGGAAATCTTTTTGGAGAGCAGAGAGACCCTCTGATTGCATGTAGTTTCGCATCTTGGTTGGTCTTACAGAAGCATCAACGGATTCCTCTGGTGTTATTACCTGAGTTAAGGAGCGATAATAGTCTTGAAAATCCTTAGAAATTTCAGCAGTTGAGTGGACCATTGGACCAATCACATCGCTTATTTTAGCATTATATGTGGCTGACTCTTTTGCCCTTTGTGCTCTTGCAGAGAGTTTTCTTGCTTTATTACTCCATTGATAGCGATTCCTCATTACTATATTGAAGTCACGCTTTGTCTCTTGCTCTAAAAGAGGTTTGAAAACTAAAGCATAGAGTGAGAAAGGGTTTGCTGGGAGTTTATGGGATTACTCTAAGTCATGCATATCCTGAAGTATTGTAATAACACATACTGTGCTTTTCTTTTTCTTTGATCAAATGTCTTTCAAAATTCCTCTGATATAGGCCTTACGGAGTTCCCATGCAATGGCCGGAGATGTCATTTTGATCTAAGAAGGTATAATGTGACAGACCCAACCAGGACTTTTGCAGAAGACTAGGTGCTAGCCTTCTACCCACTGATTATGGCCCATGGAGAGGGCATATCATTCTCTAATGATGGACAACAATGTGATGATCGCCGAGAACGAGATTTGGATTCTTTCTCTGCGTACAGAAAATATAACTTCCCTTCTGGAGTGGATAGAAAAGTGTAATATTAATCTTATACAGAAAATATGAGGCCCTACTACAGATTGGGTTGGAGAACCTCCAATTTAGACATACAGAGTAGAAAAAAATAAACCACCCTATGTGTCCAAATATGCTAGGTATTTCACTGCCTTCATCTCAGCATTTTTTAATATCAAAGTTCAAATGTGAGATGGGCCTATAGGAGGAACAGAACTGGGGATCCTTGCCAGATTTTGGAATCAGTACAATATGTGCCTGATGCATAGAGGGAGGGAGGGCCCGTTGGGTATAACTTTCTTTAAAGACTCTACAGAGATGATGTGCTAGATCGGTGGCATGTAATTTATACCAATCCCCTGGCAGTCTGTCAGGCCCAGGGGTTTTGTTGGGAGGGAAAGAACGGATAGCAGATTCTATTTCAGAAACCAAAATTTCTTTATCAAGAGCCCTTGCATCTTCATCCAACAACCTCGGCAGAGAAAGGCTCAGTAACGTGTCCACTAAAGTGGAGGGCACCGGAGGGGGGGGGGGTGGAGGGGGCATACAGAGATCAGCCTGTGAAGGCAGCCGCATCAGAGTGGGCAAGAGATGGGAAATGCAGCTCCAAATCCCTACGAGCCTTTGCTAGTTTAGCATAGTTATCCTCTGTGGGTGAACTTGCAAAATCCGAGGCTGCTGCCATCATGCTGTGTTCCAACGTAGTGGTATCTATAACAAATTCTTTCCTTGCCATTTTAATAGCAGAAATATATTGGTCTCGCGTAAAAGCCTTAAACAAGTCCCACATGAAAAGAGGAGAGTGATAATTTACCTCCCAAAACTGAGTTAGGGAGTCAGTCAATAATTCTTGGATTGTCACCCTCCGCACCTTCCGGGAGTCCCAGGACTCTGACGTTATTGTGGCAGAGTCTATTTTCAGCATCATCTGATTTAGCCACCAGAGCTGACACAGAACATTGCAAATCTGCTATAGAGGTGGCATGAGTGGCAGTGAGATCCTCCGTCACTGAGATCCAGGACTCCGTTTCCATGATCTAGCCTCTGATCTTATCCAGATCCGAGCGAATTAAATTACATTCTTCTGCGAGCCAATCAATGAGCACCAGTAGAGAGGTTTTACTTTGTTCTATAGCCGCCAGGATCACTGATTTGCCATCGGAGGGATGCAAAGGAGGATCTAAGGCTGGGGTGGATGTTATGGATGAGTCCCCCGAGTTTGCGTCCATCTCCACCAGTAAGGCCTGCAGCCGCTCGACAAAGATGATGTCCTGCCGCGCGGTTGGAGCTTGGGAGGGCCAAGATGTGGTAGCCTGCTTAGTGGAGCGGCTCCTAGAAGGCACTGGGAGCAAGGGCAGAAAGAGAGGGTAGGGGCCGAGGAGATCAGGGGTGCTCACTGGCTCGATAGTGCCCAGATGTCAGCAGATTAGAACAGGATGGCTGGAGCTCCTCTCAGACATGTCCTCACATGGCTCACATCTGGTCCCCCTCAGCTTATTGCTTATTATGACACCATCAACATTCTCATACCTCCAGGTTTAAATAGTATGGAGGAGCCTAGTATCCATCATGATTGGATACATACATTTTACAGTTGTACGCTGAAGAACATAAGGGTTAGTATTAGCATAACAGAGACATGCATGTTTATAAAACAATACACTGGCAGATCCAAACCATCAGATAGGATAGTGAAGGTATAGTGACAAAATCCTACCACAGTGAATGTTTGAAATTTATTTCAAACAAATAAGTTTTGATGAGGACATGTCAATGAACACAACACATTTCTACTGACCTCCTAAATCTTTTTACGGCTCTTTTATTGTATTTTATGACACATTGAAAAAAGACTAAGCAAAAACTTTTAGAAAAAAATCCAACCACATGTGGTTTATACTTTAATCTCTCACAATTGTTTAGCAAGAATTCTGATTGCACTGTGTGCTATGCTTACAAATATGTTTGAGAGATTTAATCATGAAAAAATTGTAAATTATGTTTAACAAATAGTTAAATGTTAACAAGACAAAGGAAAAGGTATTAATAGGCATAGTCATCTTAAAAAATGCCAACTGATGATTAGCTATTAGTAAAATAAATCACTTTTTAATGACACATTCTTTTTCCTACACAGATGTTGAAATTGCAGCTGTGCCCAAGCTATGGACATTAACCACTTCAATACCGAGCACTTTCCCTCCCTTCTGCCCTGGTTAATTTTCAGCTTTCAGCGCTGTTGCACTTTGAATGACATTTGTGCGGTCATGCAGCACTGTACCCAAAAGAAATTTTTGTTAATCTTTTTCACACAAATAGAAATTTCTGTTGGTGGTATTTAATCACAACTGTTTTTCCTAAATAAGCAAAAAACCCCTAAAATGTTCACATTTCTGTTTTAAATTTTGCAAATAAATAATTGTTCTTTGTAAATTTATTCCAAAATGTATTCTGCTACATTTTTTGGGTGAAAATAACCCAAATAAGTGTTTATGTGTCTGTAGTTATAGAGTACACAAACTTTGGTATACATTATATCTGAAAATTGATCAATCCTAATGTACTGACTGTCTATCTCATCTCTTAAGGCTCTAAAATGTCAGGACAGTACAGGGGCGGACTGACCATTTGAGCACTCGGGCACTGCCCGAGGGCCCGGGGTCAGTAGGGGGCCCCATGAAATGCCCCTGGTACCTTTTTTATAAGCCTTTTTGAGTGTAGGCAAGGACACAGGGGCCCCATGATCCCCTATTGCCTGGGGGCCCTATGAGTTGTCAGTCCGCCCCTGGGACAGTACAAATAACCCTCAAGTGACCCCTTTTTAGAAAGCAGACATTTAAAGGGATTTAGTAAGAGGTATGGCGAGTTTTTTAAAGTGGTAATTTATTGTCAGTTTATTTTGGAAAAGGAAGACACTGACGGATGACAGTACAAAAATAAAAAAAAAATATATTACTTTTTCTTACATTTTTTTTTAACACAGTGTGACCATTGCATAACAATGGTATTACAATTACAATAGTAACATTGTACTACTTTGAGGAAGTGATCAGGATTTTTTTTAAACATTGTGACTGCTTATAGCAGTGAATTTCATTGTTATAAGCAAGCATTTTTACTAAATTAAATTGATTTATTCAGTATGTGATTAGCTGTGATAGGCCCTGTCTCTACCATATGATCACTGTGACCAATCACAGCTAGCAAACACAATTGTATGTGAATGGCATGAATTGAAGCCATTCATTGTTTACAAATATTATGTGATCTGCATTTGCTGTGATTGGTCACAGCGATCACTTGGTACCAGCAGCGGAGTGTTCTGGGAGGATGTCTTATGACATCCACCTGGAGAAGGAAAGTCCCGCCCGTACGTTATTTTATAATGTCTATTATGGTGTCCTGTCTCTGATGTATCACACAAAAGTTTTCAGGTCCCTATCTTACCAATATAGACCATTGTTCTTCTGGTTTGAGATCTTACAATATTCCAGATATTTAAATATAATAAATAATTGCCCTTGAACCACAGTGTCTTTGCATTAAACAGATTTTTAGGCTGAAAAAATGTATAAAAGTCTTCCTTTTACAAGCTATATTAAACTAACACAATGTAAACTCCTATCTCTAAGTATTAACACTATTATATAACATTATATAACATAAGTATTATTATAACAGTAACACATATTAGTATTCAGCTGAAAACACAAATGTTATTAACCAAACCGTTGATGGCTACAAATAGCCTACTGCATCCTAATAATTATAAACATATTAGGAAAGTGTGGCTTGCAATGCAATAACTAGTAGATACAATTTGCTTTTGTTGAGGCTGTGACCTGCAGTCTGACAACTCAGATGTCAGAAGGATTAAGTTGCCTAGAGTGGCTTTGAAGAAAACCTGTACTAAGAAAAGTATGTAGACTTGGCTGGCCTCCTTCTCAATATGTTAGCGTCTTGATTGCCTCTTGCTTCAGTATCTGCCAGCCAAACTGCCCAAAGTTACAGTAACAGGCATTGGGAGAAACGTGAACACTACCAGGAATGTTTGAGATGTTTCAGCATTTTTTTTTTCTATCAGAAACATCACATCATGGGAACAGAAAGCTACCTTATTAAACCAAAATGTTATTTGGATTTAGCTATTTGTGTAGAACCACAATGCCCTGTACATCCTTAGATCCTAATAGGGACCTCAGCGCTAGCAGTGAGGTGTGAGAGCTGGATAATGCAGACCACCTCTATAAGAGGAAAGCTGAAGGCAACCATAGTGTCAATGTGTTGGAGCTGGCAATAGTAACAGGACAGAAATGAGACATTTGATGTGTTTTAGCAAACTGTGCTTGAGTTCTGTGCATCGTGGCTGGGGGTATACTCTTCATTGTACTCCCCTGTATTCATAGAACTTTATTGAACTTGTAACCATTAGGTAATTTTCCATTTTTTATTTCTTTTACATTGAAGTGGATTTAAGAACATCAGCCAATTAGTCAAATGCTGATGTTGTATTAATAAATAACGGAGTCATATTAATAAAGGACGGGGTCATGTTTTCAAATGATAGAATCACATTTATGAATGATAGGATCAGGGTTTAACTTGAAAATACAAATGGGGTATTATTTTATATTTTCATATATAAAAATAGTTACAGACATCATGGCTTTCACTGTGTATTTATAAAAATAAATCATCTTACTTTTTGCCGCAAACTCACTACAGGTAAGAAAATTCACTGTCTCCTACACACCATAAACTAAAATGATATCCCAGCGGTCATGGCCAGGATATTTGTCCACACAGCAACCAAATCCAATACTTGTCAGGGGCTACAGGGCAGTGAGTGTAAAGTAGAACAGACCACAACACAATTTAAAAAAAGCATTTTGAATTTTTTTTAAATTTGCATTAAAGGAGAAGGATAGCCAAAGCTCTTTTGGCTATATTTTTTGGGGATCACAAGAGTGCAATTCATTCTGTAGTCCTGTGACCCATTTTTAGCTGGCAGTGTGCTAAAGCCTTCTGTTGGCAGATGTCACAGAGCCAGTCCAATCATCAGCTCTCTGCTCACAGAACACTAAGAACTGAGCAGCGGGTGATAGATGTTAAAAACAACAAATTATACTCATCTAGATGGATGGAGGATTGGATCAATCCTCCATCCATCTAGATGAGTATAATTTGTTGTTATTAACCCATACTTCTCTTTTATTGGAATAAATAATATGTATATCTATACTGATATGGACTGCATAATGCGTTAGGAATGTAAGGATGCCCCATCGTTTGATGGAAATGGAAAGGATCAACCTACAGAGGAGTGAATTAAAAGACAAAACGTGCTTGTATGCATGCCCGACAACATCGGGGCATGCTCCTAATGAGATGACGGATGGTGTCATAGGGTATTTCCTCCCAGATCTGGACCAGGGCATAACTGAGCTCCTGGACAATCTGTGGTGCAACCTGGCGGTGTAGGATGGACCAAAACATGATATCCCAGAGGTGTTCTATTGGATTTAGGTCAGGCGAGCGTGGGGGCCATTCAATGGTATAAATTCCTTCATCCTCCAGAAAAAGCCTTCATGCTCTCGCTACATGAGGCCTGACATTGTCATGCACCAGGGGGAACACAGGACCCACTGCACCAGCATAGGGTCTGATAATGGGTCCAAGGATTTCATCCCAATACCTAATGGCAGTCAGTGTGTCATTGTTTAGCCTGTAGAGGTCTGTGCATCCCTCCATGGATATGCCTCTCCAGACCATCACTGACTCACTACCAAAACCGTCATTCTGAATCAATGTTATAGGCAGCATAACATTCTCCACGGCTTCTCCAGACCCTTTCACGTCTGTCACATGTGCTCAGGGGGAACCTGCTCTCATCTGTGAAAAGCACAGAATGCCAGTGGCGGACCTGCCAAATCTAGTGTTCAATGGCAAATGCCATTTGAGCTCTATGGTTCCGGGCAGTGAGCACAGAGCCAACTAGAGGACATCGAGCCCTCAGGCCACCTTCATGAAGTCTGTTTCTGATTGTTTGGTCAGAGACATTCACATCAGTGGCCTGCTGGGCTCTGGCATTACTCATGCTGTCCCTCCTTGAACAAAGGAGCAGATACTGATCCTGCTGATGGATTAAGGACCTTCTACGGCTCTGTCCAGCTTTCCTAGCGTAACTGCCCATCTCCTGAAATCCTGGATTAAAAAGATATAATAAAATACTTACAGTATATAGTGTTATGTGATTCTGTTTCTATATAGTTTAAGGTTAGGCTTTACCTGCAGTATATTTCTATTGCTCGTATGTGTAAAAGGATCATTTGCTAGTTTGTACTAACACTAAAGATGTTGAATGATCTTTTAGGGTTAGGCATAAAGATGAAAGAGATATTTGATAATTTTGAGATTTGATAATGTATTTACAATGTAATATATTAAGTATAGTTTGAAATCATCTTAACTCATGCAGCTATCATTAAAAAAAGGAATAATGATAATAATAATAATAATAATAATAATAATAATAATAATAAAAAAACACCACTTTTTCCATTACTAAATTCAGCATGCCTTAAAGTAAAAACTGTTGACATAAAAATGTTTTTTTAATAATGTTTTAAAGAAACAAATCATAAAAAAGTCCCTTTCAAGTTAAAAAAGGATAACAAATTAAAGGAAAATCAATGTACATTAGAATCACCTGTTCTTAATTTTATGGATTTGTTCTTCTTTTCCAGACTTCTGTTCCCTAAATGCTCCCAAATGTTATTTGTCTTCTAAAGTTCTTTTGAACAAAATGTGTTTTTTTTTTTCATTTAAAATCTTGGCCTAACAGAAGGTCACCTTTTCAATTATTCCTTCATTAGGAAGCACTGTCAGAGTCCAGTCTAGACTGTTTTACATGTTTAGGACAGTGTCCAGTCCAAATTCTCTGTACTACCCTGAACATCCATTAAGGAAAGCTGTTACTTTCCCTGTTCCTGGCAGAGATTAAAAAGGCTCAGTGTAGTACACTGCTTGGCAGTTGTTTTGGGCCCCCCATACAGAAATAAGAATAATGTCTGTGTTTTTTCCGTTTTTCAACAGCCATAGCCAACACAAGCAAATAGCACTTCATTGCCACATGGATTTACAATTATTGCAAAGTGACTCTCATCAATGTATATTAATGGTAGCAAATTCTACTGCCATCCTAATTTCAATGAGGCAATGTTTTACTATGTGATTTGAGGAATTCTCTTTGCCAGGGAGTATTAGGTTTACTTTGTCATTCAGACTGCACACCATAAAAGTTTCACTTTAACTCATAATGATGCATGCACGTGGAAGTTCAGATTAAATAGTAAAATAAATCAAGTGATGTCAGTTTTTTTTTCTGGTGTATGCCATTCTATGCTATTATTTAGCCATAGCCAAAGCAGAATAGAAAGTATCTTGCAATGGAGAAAGAGATACAGTTGGTAACTATTTCATCAAGTCCCTTCTTTCAAATTTACAAATAATCCCTAAATGTGTGAGAGTTATGTTATGTAATGTTTTAATTAAATCAGAATTTCTGTAATTTGGGTTTTGCACTTCCAGCTGAACAACATATACTAAACTAAGTGTAGGTTCACATACACTATATTGTCAAAAGTATTGGGATGCCTGTCTTTACACGCACATGAAC